GTGCTAGAAAGGGCTGTTATCGCAGAAGGAAACCTTGCGGCCCAGAATCGGATTTCCGAGTGGAAAGGGAAGAGACAAAACAACCAATGGTCAAAGAGTTCCGTTACTCCACCCGCTAAGAAGCACAATTCAGGGAACTTCAGCACCACTACTTCTACTCAAAATTCCACTCCGGTGTGTCCAGACTGTGGAAGGCAACATCGAGGAACTTGTCACTGGAAGACTGGAGCATGTTTTAAATGTGGAAAAACGGGACATTTGGTAAGGGATTGCCCACAATGGGCTCAACAAAAAGGCAATAGATCCGCTACAAGTTCCGTGGGGTCTACACTAACCCCCAATGCGAAGGCGGCTGCCAAACCGAGTAATAACAAAGACACTGCAAGACAAGGTAGGGTGTTCGCTTTGGTTCCAGGTGATGTACAAAACACAGCAACAGTGGTGTCAGGTACATTTACTATTTATGGTCAATCTGCGCATGTATTGTTTGATTTTGGCTCCACTCACTCTTTTGTGTCAAAACTCTTCGCTCCTAATTTAGATAAAATTGAAGAAAACTTATCTTACATGTTGTGTGTGTCCTCCCCCCTTGGGAGAGTCTATGATTTGTACTACTCTATACCTAGCTTGTGAACTTCAACTTGGGGATATTCGGGTGTATGCTAATTTAGTGCCTCTCGACATGACCTATTTTGATGTTATTCTGGGGATGAATTGGCTAAGTGTTTATGGTGCAACTATAAACTGTGTGACTAAGCAAATTAATTTCTATCCTCCGGGGCAATCAGAGTCTATGGTTCAAGGGCAGGAAGTGATTTCGCCACCTTATCTGATATCTGCCGTGAAGGCTTGCAACTTAATACGAAAAGGCTGTCAGGGGTATTTATGTAGTGTTCTGGAAGGGCAAGGGATGAATGGGAATATTGATGTGATCCCAGTGGTCCGTGAATTTCCGGATGTTTTTCCCGAAGAATTGCCGGGCCAACTAATAGACCGAGAAACCGAATTTATAATTGAGGTGGCGCCTGGAACCCAACCCATTTCGAAGACACCCTATAGGATGTCACCCGCTGAAATGAAAGAGTTAAAGATTCAATTACAGGATCTGCTTGACAAGAGATTTATCTGCCCGAGTGTATCTCCTTGGGGTGCGCCGGTATTGTTTGTGAAAAAGAAGGACGGAACACTTCGGTTGTGTATCGACTATAGGGAATTGAATAAGGTGACAATTAAAAATAAGTACCCCTTACCACGGATAGATGACCTATTTGATCAGTTACAAGGGGCACAAGTTTTCTCAAAAATTGATTTACGGTCTGGCTACCATCAATTGAAAGTTAAAGCCGATGATGTGGAGAAGACGGCTTTTCGAACCCGGTACGGCCATTATGAATTTTTGGTTATGCCCTTCGGAGTTACAAACGCACCAGCAGCATTTATGGATCTAATGAATCGTGTCTTCAAGCCCTATCTGGACGAGTTTGTGGTGGTTTTTATTGATGACATTCTTATATACTCGAAGAGTGCAGAAGCTCATGAGGATCATCTTCGCCTAATTCTTCAAACACTCCGGGAGAAGAAACTGTATGCAAAGTTAAAGAAATGTGAATTCTGGCTACAAGAAGTGTCATTTTTGGGGCATGTGGTGACAAAGGAAGGAGTCTCTGTTGACCCACACAAAGTTGAAGCAATTGTGAATTGGCCAACCCCCACTAATGTAACCGAGATGCGAAGTTTCATGGGGTTAGCTGGATATTACAGGAGGTATGTTCAAGATTTCTCCAAAATTGCTGTGCCACTTACCCAACTGACACGAAAAGGAGTTGCATTCAAATGGTCAGAGGAGCGGGAATCTGCTTTCCAAGAATTAAAAACAAGATTGACGACAGCACCAGTTCTGGCTTTGCCATCTGGTACCGAAGGATTCGTAATTTACAGTGATGCTTCGCACAAGGGGCTTGGTTGTGTGCTAATGCAGAATGGAAGGGTTATTGCCTATGCTTCTCGACAATTGAAACCCCACGAGAGGAATTATCCCACACACGATCTCGAATTAGCGGCAGTAGTTTTTGCTTTAAAGATATGGCGGCACTATCTTTATGGTACAACCTGCGAAATTTACACTGATCATAAAAGTCTCAAGTATCTATTTACCCAGAAAGAGTTGAACATGCGACAACGGCGATGGCTTGAGTTGATTAAGGATTATGACTTGCAGATCCAATATCATCCTGGGAAAGCTAACATGGTGGCAGATGCACTTAGTCGGAAGAATATGGGGGACTTGGCAAATCTGTTGGTAGAAAGAAAGGAGTTGAGGATCGAACTGGATAAAATGAATATGGACCTAGTGGTACGTGAACATGAGGCCATACTAGCAGCAGTAAGAGCTCAACCCACCTTGCTGGAAGAGATTAAGTTACATCAACGGGAAGATGAGACTTTAAGGAAAATCTATGATGAGTTAGAGACAAAACCAAAATCGGGGTTCAGTTACGTAGACTCGGTATTAAAATTTCAAAGTCGAATATGTGTCCCCAATGTGTTGGAGCTTAAACGGAAGTTGCTAGGAGAAGCACATGCCTCGAGATTATCAATACACCCGGGAAGTACTAAAATGTACCAAGATTTAAAACAAAATTTCTGGTGGCCAAATATGAAAAAGGAGATCGCGGAATTTGTTTCTAAGTGTCTACAATGTCAACAAGTAAAAGTAGAACATCAAAGACCAGCAGGGTTATTACAACCCCTTCCAATCCCGGAATGGAAATGGGAGCATTTGACCATGGATTTCGTTGTGGGGTTACCAAGGACTCCTCGAGGTATGAATTCGATTTGGGTCATTGTGGACCGATTAACCAAGTCTGCTCACTTCTTGCCTGTAAAGACTCAATATAATGCGGATACGATGGCAGTACTGTATATAAATGAAATTGTAAGGCTTCATGGTGTTCCAGTGTCAATTGTGTCAGATAGGGATCCCAAATTTGTTTCAAGATTTTGGCAAAGTTTACAGGAGGCTATGGGTACCGAACTTACGTTCAGCACCGCTTTTCACCCTCAAACTGATGGTCAATCCGAGAGAACCATACAAACTTTAGAAGATATGCTCCGATTATGTGTATTGGATTTTCAAGAAAGCTGGGAAACCCATGTACCGTTGATAGAGTTCGCCTACAATAACAGTTACCATTCGAGCATTGAGATGGCACCTTATAAAGCTCTATATGGAAGACCGTGTCGTTCCCCTGTATGTTGGGCTGAAGTTGGGGATAGGGCATTGTTGGGTCCTGAAATTGTGCAATTAATAACTGAAAAGGTTAAAATTATCCGGGAGAGGTTGAAAACGGCACAAAGCAGGCAGAAGAGCTATGCAGATAACAGACGAAGGGATTTGGAATTTGAAGTGGGTAGTTATGTGTTCGTGAAAGTCACCCCGTTAAAGGGACATCCAAGATTTGGGAAAAAGGGTAAATTAACACCCCGGTATGTTGGCCCTTTCCAAATTCTAGAACGAGTGGGTCTGGTCGCTTACCGAGTGGCTCTTCCGCCAAGTATGAGTCAAGTACATAATGTGTTCCATGTTTCCATGCTTCGAGGATACCTATCAGATCCATCTCATGTCATAGACTATCACCAACTTGTGCTAGATGATAAGTTAAGCTATGAAGAAAGACCACTTCGAATTTTGGAGCGACAAGTAAAGCAATTGCGCAATCGGGAAATTCCAATGGTAAAGGTAGAGTGGCAAGAACATTATGGCACTGAAGCTACTTGGGAAAAAGAAGAGGATATGCAGCAACAGTATCCATATCTGTTTCCGTTTTGAGGTAAAAGCAAGTTTGAGGGACCAAACTTTTTTTAAGGGGGGAAGAGTGTAACAACCTGACCCTCATATGTGCTTGTGATATATGTTAGTCCTTTATTCTGTGCTGTTAAATGCCTAAGATGAAACTGTACAAGAAAATAAGTTCAAGTAACTATGTTGCGATGCCTTATGAAATGAATTGTATCTATTAAGAAAGAACTGTATCTGTTATTACTAGAACGATAAAGTAGGAATTGAAGGCCTTAGCGGCTCAATAAGCCAAAATTGATCATATATTTAGAACCAGCATAATTTTTAGGTAATATTAAGCACTTTTGTGAAATTTCAATTTTCGGATGTGTAAACGATTGATTTTCGTCTCATTCTCTCTTTATAGAAATATATATGTGTGTTCTTGGTCATTTGACAAGCCAAGGAATTCCTAACTCTAAACTTAAGAATTGAAGGGTAGAGAGAGAAGGTCCTCAAGAAGGTTGGGATTTGGGCT